GTGTGAAAGCGAACCGCACCAAGAATAAAAAGCAACACTGTAATAATTTTAATCCCTGTTTCGGAACAAAGAAATCGATCTACAGGTGTGAAAGCACCCTTAATGTTGCAAAGACAAAAGAAATGCTCATTGATTTTAGATATAAATCTTCTGTTATTCAGAATACTGTTATTAAGGGACAGGCATTTGAAGTTGTGGAATCTTATCCAAGATCCAAGTATCTTGGCAGTCTGATTGATAATAAGTTGACATTTGTAGCCAATGCGGAGATGATTGGTAAGAGAGCACAACGACTATATTGTCTTCGCAAATTGTCAAAATTTCATGTGGATAAGACTCTTATGTCCCTTTTTTATAAATCTTACATTGAGTCCATTTTAATATTTTCTATAATATGTTGGTATGGCAATCTTAGTGTTAAGGCCAAAAATGCTTTGTCCAGAATAATAAAGGTCAGCAGTAAAATTTTAGGTACTGAGCAGAGTAGTCTTACTGACCTGTATAATAGACAGGTGAAAAGCCAACTCCATTTTATCAGCCAGTGATCATCCCCTGTACTCTGAGTTTGAGTTTTTACCTTCTGGTTTGCGGCTTAGATTTCCTTTAGTGAAGAGTAATCGTTACAGACGCTCATTTATTCCTACGGCAATATTCATGCTAAATGCAGGTAATGGTTAGTGTTTTGTTTTTTGTTTTTTTTGGTGGGGTGGGTGAGGTTGTAAATTGTATTATTAGGCTTGTGTTTTCGTATTATTTTTGTGCTTTTTATGTTTGTTTGTATGTCTTGCTGCAAAACTAATAACAGTAATATAATAAGCAAATTTAAAGAAAAAAAATTACACACTTAGAATAATATACTTATGGCCTAATATGTATAATATAAGCTGTGATAAAGTGGAGTGTTTCAGTAATTTTACTTAGAGTTTAATCCTCCTTTTTGAAAAAGTCGCTTTGAATAAAATCATCTGCTGAATGTGTAAATTAAGATGCAATTTTATAATATTGCAGTATCAGCTACAAGCTGACAAAACTCTACATACTTTCCAAAAAAACCTGTTTGCATTCAAATGAAATCCTGAATAAGATCCACTTGAGCTTGATTTCAGACATGCCTCTTTCCACACCATCCAAACACATCTTACACATTCATATCCATCAAGCACTCTTACTCCAGTGTGTAAGTGCTTGAAATAATAGCAGAAGTGAGATGCATCCTCTCTCTCTCTCTCTGGATGTTTCATTGCAGGTCTCTAATAACCATTAAGAATAGTGTGAGGAGCTTATTTGTATCACAGAGGCAAAACAATAAGAGCAGCTGCCGCAGAGTTTTACTCCCCGCGGAATAAACCGCAGGCTGAACTGTAAATAATAGCCCAGAAAAAGATATTACTGTGAACTCGTCATCATATTATAAATGCCTCTGTGTGTGTGCACTCGCCGCTAATTGAGCAGCTCCGCCAAACTAAATCCATTTTAAAAGAATAAAACTGGTGGGAAATTATATTGAATTGGAAACGAAACAGTGCTACAACAGAGAAAGAGGCATTTCTTGACTCTGGTTTCTACAAACCTTCGTGCTCCTTGTCCGATACTCCCACTTTCTTCATCTTCTTGGGCGTCTTCATGAACAAAGGGAATATGGTCCGCAGGCCCAAGATGTCCACAAACTTGTGACAGTTATCCGACCCCTCTGGACCGATCACCCCGTAGTCCAGGACCTTCAGAGCGCTGACTCGAGACATCTTCTTCTCCCTGAACAGACATAATGATGAATGTATCATTGGCACACTTTTAAAGTACAACACTCAGACTAAACTACAAACAAGCAGGAACTAACTACTTAAAAGCCACTGAAGGGACGAAGTTTGTAATTCTTAGAAATAAGAGCAGTACTTATTCGGCACAGAAATTAGAAATTTGCATGCATATATATGCATCAAAGGCTATATTCATGACAACCGTAAACAAAAACTTTTATTTTGGATGTGATTAATCTCGATTAATCATTTGACAGCACTAATATATATATATATATATATGCTGGGCAATGATTAACATTTTTAATCGCGATTAATCACATGATTCACAAAATTCAATAATGAATTCAAAAGTAGTGTATTGCTTTATAGAAAATATTTTATAGTTTGTTATAGTAAAACAAGTTATGCTCAGAGTCCATAGCCTCGATCATAACATTATAACAGGCGCCTTCCGAGTAGAGACCTGCACGATCGCGGAACCCAACGCAGCAGAGTGCAGCGCGGGACAACACTTGATGGGCGAGTGCGGGCGCGGGTGGGTAGAGACTCGTGTCTGCGGGATGCGGGAGAATAAGGGTGTATCACACTAGGCAATCTTAACCGTGCCCGAGCGCGTCTGACCCCCAAA